CTGTGCGGGCAGGGGGCTCCGGCCGAACCGCATGGGCTGGCCCGTCCCTTTCCCAGGGGCAGTGCGGTGAGGCCGTGCGCCTGAGCACTCACGTAGAGTACGAAAAGGAGAGAGTAGGCAAGAAGCCAAAGCCGAGCCACTGGTGGGTTTCACTTTCCAGTTTCTGATGTGGTAACTGTTTGAGTTTGTGCATGTTTCCCCCCAGCCCCCCCATATAGTAACTAGTTTTAACAAAGAATAAGCGTGACCAAGTTTTCCAAGCACCCGATTTCAGATGACTACTTTATAAATGCTTACGTGGTTTTTCTTCCTGTTACTACCACGACACGATATTTCAACACGCTTACCTTTTCATCTGAATTTTGAACTGCGTATTCATGGCATTTACAGTGCCTTGTTTCAGCTGGTTGGTGTGCAAGGAGAAGGCTTAAGCCATGTGGAATGATACAGAAAGCAGAGGCGTGTTCTAGCATTCCCAATTTAGCCAGTATCACTGGCCCTGGTGTCTGCTGAGGACAGGGTATCACGTTGCCCTGGTCGTTGGTTCAGCTCCTCCTGCCCTTGCTGCAGGGGTGGGTGCTGGGGCTGTTGAATGAAACGGGTTTAAAACGTTTTTCTTTCTGGCTGAAAAATGGTTTTCTGGTTCGAATGCGAAGATGCCATCAGGCAGCTGAGCCCAGGGGGTAATGAGTGGGTTATTGGTTCATACTTCACTGACTGATAGCCATTACAGGGGAAAAATTACACAAATTATCTTGCTGAGAGAGTGGCTTACTTCACTCAACCTGCCCGAACGTGTAGACATGGAACGTGGCAGAGCCATAAATGGAGCTTCCTGTTAATTATCTTGTCCATCAAAGCAGTAATTTGATTTTTTTTCTTTTAATTATTATAGCAACTTTTAAATTGAGGCTGAGGCTACATAGGCACCCAAAATTCTGGTAGCCTGGAGATCACACAAGTGAGTCAGCATGCAGAATTATCAGTGTGACCAAGATTTGAGTACAGGTTGGTAGAAGGCCACGCTCTTCTGTAATAAAGTGTAAAACTACGCCTGTTGGATTGTGCTCATCATGTAACCTCACTGGAGCTTTTATGGAGAGGACCAACTATTCTCCTGTCAATTCTTCTACAGGCTCATGACGAAGTCTGCCCTGAATTTCCATTGACTTGCGAAGGCTGTGGGAAGAAGATTCCGAGGGAGAAGGTACCCGACTGCCAGTGAACCGTGTGCCGTGGTGGCGTTCGGGGTCCTGACGGGCTGACACCGGCGTTCTCGGAGTGGGGAGGAAAACTGGGACCATTAGAAAGTGGAGCAGGGAGCCAATTAACTGGCAGCTGTTGGTACAGATGTGACCTTTCCCTGAGGCTCAGGACGCTGGTGGGGTCCTCAGCACCGGTACTTTGTGTTTGTGCCACCGGGGCCACCTCCCTCTGAGCGGTGTGTGCCGCGTCTGGGTGCAGAGCCTCCGTGGGAAAAGCATGCCCATGGGTTTAAAGGGTGCTTATGCCCTACGTAAAGCAACTGTATCAGCCACTGCTGCGATTGCGGGAAGGGAGCCAGCCCCTTTCTCGCTAAATCAATTTATTCCTAATTAATTACATGATGGAATCCGTGTCTATAGGGCCTCCATGCTGCTGGCTCCTGGGGCAAGGCTGGAAAGTCTGAAAATCAAAGTTTTGGGAAACATCTTCAGAAAGCATGTTCATCTGAACCTGTCCTGCCTGCTACCAGCAAATGTTTTTAGTAGCACTGTTGCAAAAAGCCCATGTAGCAGGGCAGGGGGTCAGAAGCATCAGAGAGATGAGCAAAGAGTTCTCCAGAACGAGCAGTGTAACGAAGGACTCGGTGCTGGGATCTTGGGATGCAGATCTGCTGGTCTGCAGGCTGAAGCTGGGGCCCAGCAGAGACTAGGCTTGTAGGGTTGCCATAGGTGATCTAGCCTTTCTTTGAATATTTACTCCCTCTTTTATCTCTCTCCAAACTTTTGTTCGTCAGCTGCAGACGTCGTCACTCTGAGTAACCTGACTCATTAAGCAAGCCAGAAGGATCTAGAAGCTTTTAAAAAAGTGGTTTAAAACCAGTTTGAGTCGACATCTGTTGTAGCAGATGTAGGTGTTAAATGTGGAATATGGTTACAGTGCAGAACAGACCACTGACATCTAATGGTGAGAGGTGTATCCAGACCAGGATGATAATGTGCCAGTGCTTGTTAGCATTGATCACGCGCTGTGTGGGAACCCAAACGAGTCATCTTGGCAGCTGGGGAGTTAGTGGCACTTCTCTGGAGAAATACCCACCATTGGCCCTGGTTCTTCACGGCAGCTGCCAGACGAGGCGCGGCATCCCTCAGCACCCCAGCGAGGGGGTGCTGGACCCACCAGAGCATCTTCCCTTGCACAGGTGGACCTGCACCAATTGCTATGAATACTCAGGCAGGACCACTGGGAAGCTTTCTGTCCTGGTTTGTGATGTTTAGCTGGAAGTGGAAATACCAAACTGTGGCACGTCCCGATCGGGATTACATGAAGTGCACAAAATTAAATGACTCTCTGTTTCATAGGGCTGTTCCTTACGCCTCCTCTTCCTCTGCCCTTGCTGAAGTTTGTTGCTCAGCATCCGTAACATGTCCTTATGCTGGTTGCTTTTTCTTTCTTGCATCTTGACCCCCTAGCCATCAACAGAAAGAGAAATAAAACCTCCTTCCAAGTGTCAGTGCTATGTTTATGTTACAGTGAAAGTCGTACCTGGCGGTGGGCAGTGCCCGGGTTTAACCGCGCACATTGGCAGCTACCGATGGCTCGGGCGTTCTCGAGCTGGTCTCCAGTTTCCTAGACGTCAGCGAGACGGGAAGGGAGCTGCTGGGGACACACAAGATCTAACGTTGCCTGCCTTCCTTTCTAGTTTCGGGACCATGTGAAGACTTGTGGCAGATCCAAAGTGCCTTGCAGATTTGAGGTTGTCGGATGTGCCAAGGTGGTAAGGGCTCGTCTGTCGATGTTTACCTCGGGACTGGTTTTCAGTTCCAGTGTTAGAGTTAACCTGCAAGCTGCTGTTGCCTGAACTGTTACAGACGTTTGTGTTCAGATATTTGAGCAAAGTCATCTTTCAAACCCTTTGCAAATAGAGCTTATCGTCTGCTCTCCAGAGGTTGAGTATCCAGAGGATGAACGTGGTGTGGAAGGAAACCTCTTTCTTGAGAAACCCCCAAAGTGCTTGGAGACTCTGGTTATGCTGGTTTCCGCCGAAAGCACCGAACTGGGCATCTGGTGTCTTGCTCTCCTGCCAGAGCTTGGGCCAGGCCGTGTTTTGCCATGTGACTTGAGTTTTCCCAGCTCCTACTGGTGATGTTCATGTAAATCCCTCCTCGGGGGATTACGTGAGGCTTTGTCCTTTGGTGCTGTTAAGTACCTCTGACAGAGCCCGTTCGGGAGGTAACGCAGGAGGACAGGGTAGAGCAGTGTGTACAGCTGGGGAAACGTCAAGTGTCCGTCATTGTGTGCAATTGCAGCATTTCTAACACAAAACAAAATAGTTTTTTAACTGTCTGTCTTTGGTTTTTCTCCTTTGTGATTTGAAGCTGAAGTTGTGATCCTCAAGAGGAGGAATTTGTTCTGTGGATGGTGACAGCGTAGATTGAGCTTGCTGAATGGGGGCTGTGTTTCTCTTCGTGTAGGTGGAAAACGAAAAGCTACCAGAACACGAAAGCAAATGTTTGGCGGAGCATCTCTACATGCTACTGAGCTTTGTGCTCAGCCTCAAGGCGGGCTCTGGAGACCTAAAGCCCCTTCCAGCCCTTCCCTCATCGCAGAACAACTCCCCGCTGCTGGCAGCAAGCTCTCTGTGCTCGGAGTCGGAGCTCTCCAGGTCCCTGGAGCTCTTGGGAAGATGTGAGGCTCTTGAGAGGAAAACGGTGACCTTTGAGAACATTGTCTGTGTGCTCAATCGGGAGGTGGAAAGGGTGTCTCTAACAGCTGAAGCCTACAGTCGGCAGCACCGACTAGACCAGGAGAAAATCGAAACCCTGAGCAACAAGGTGTGTAACCACTGGCCCGGGCTTTCGGGCTCTCTGAGCAGAGGCTTTTTTCAGTTTCCTTTCCGTGTTCGTAGCTAGCAGAGCTTCGCCACCTAGCCCTGAGACTCCACAAACCTGAAGGCAGAACTAAAATGTTGTTTGTGCCTGTGCCCGACCCTCAAAAGTTTCCTGGACAAGACAGGAATTAAACTGACACGCGTAAAGCCCTCGGGCCTGCGTTAGCAGCCGAGTCACGCAGACGCCGCGGTGCCGTTCCGCGGTGCAGGCTTCCGACGAGAACCAGAGCGCCCAGCGTTTCACTGGATCCTCTGACTCCGTGGGGCTGCTCGCCTTCCCGACCTTTCAAAAGGAGCACACGGTGGGAGCTGCGCTGCAGCGTTGTGCCCAGCACGGGCTGGAGGTGCGAGGAAGCCCCCCCGCCCCGTGCTCCAGCGCAATCCCTGCCGAGCGCTGCGGTGTGTCTCAGCAGCGGGAGGTGTGGGGTTGGCAGCGAACCTGTGCTCCCTGGGCAAGGGAGCTGCCAAAGCTGGCGTGACCCTGTGTTGGCGAGCAGCAGTTAACCCGCTGCAGACCTTGTTGGTCTTAGAGTCACAGAATCACAGAACGGTTTGGGTCGGAAGGGACCTCAAAGATCATCCAGTTCCAGCCCCCCTGCCATGGGCAGGGACACCCTCCACTGCACCAGGTTGCCCAAAGCCTCATCCAGCCTGGCCTGGAACACTTCCAGGGATGGGAAGTGTTCAAGGCCAAGTTCTTCTCTTTTTTCAAGGTCAATGTTTTTCTCTTCGTCAATCTAGTTTTGTCACAGTGCTGAGGTTTGGGTTTTTTCCCCCCATCCTCACTTCTTGTGGTGCCAACGTAACGGAGCACGGGTTAGGAGGATTTTTCCATTCACTGTAGGGACGTTTCCAGCCCAAGCGCTGAGTTGTATGGATGTACCTGCTCCAGAATGACAGGGTTCGGAAGGAAGCTGCAGTGAACTGGCTTACGATGCTGAAATTTCTCCCTCCCGTGAGCCCTGTCGGTTCTGGAGAACGTCTCTCACTAAAGAGCCGTTCCGAGGGGGGTGCTGGTGGCTGGTGGCTTTCTCGGGTCTCACAGCAGTGCGTGTTCCTAACCAGGCTGCACCGTGTGTCCCACTGAGCAGGTCCGGCAGCTGGAAAGGAGCATTGGACTCAAGGATCTGGCCATGGCTGAGATGGAAGAAAAGATCCGCAACATGGAAGCTTCCACCTACGACGGAGTGTTCATCTGGAAGATAACAGAATTTGCCAGGAAGCGTCAGGAGGCGATAACAGGCCACTCTCCTGCGATCTTCTCTCCAGGTTGTTGCCCACAAACGTGCAAAATTGCAAAAGCCTTTTGCGTGCAGCTGGGTGTGGGGTTCGTGGCAGTGTCCGTAGCGGAGGAGATGTGGGCCATTCAGGCACGCTTCTGTTCTGTCCCCCTTTTCCCGTGGAGCCTGGGCCGCTCTTTTTTGACATTGAGCTAAATGAACCTGCTGCTGAAAGAGGTGCTCTTTTGATGGCAGAAGATATTTTTGATTTCTCTTAAGGGAGAGTGCAGCCCTCTTAGCTCCGGAATAGCCCTGGTAACCCTTTAGTTAAAATTAAAATACTTGAGAGACATAAAACCAGCAATAAAATAGTTAAGGAAGGGAAGAAATACATTAGAGCCCCAGAAATATATTTTATTGCCTAAAGCATGACGATGCAAAGAGATAATGTCTAAATAAAGACCAAACTGCACCTAGGGAAGTGCTTGCCTATCTGCTAGAGGAAGGGGCTCTCCTCGCAGGACTGCCCCAGCCCAGCACTCTTCTTCCTCTTCTTAAAAAAGACCGTGGTGGACGGAGCACAGTAGGTTCTGCTCTGTCCGAGTGCCTGTGGAAGCACTCCCCAGGCTTGCAGCTGTGAGGCAAAACCATCTCTGCCCACAACTTCATCGCTCGGTGGGGAGCTCACCTCGCGACCAAATGGGTCAGGAGGGGACTTGGTGTTTGCCTGAGCAGGAATCTCTTAGATCTCAGCGTGCTGGAGAGCTTTTTCAGAACGCCCAGAGCTGCATGCAAAGGCAGAGCACGTACCTTATGGCTGCGTCCTGGTGCGGAGAGAAAGCAGACTGCGGCTGGGCCACGAGATAAAAGCGATTGAGTTTTAAAAACTATTTCTAAGTCTTTTTTTCTGGGTGAAGGCTGCTCAGAGTCCTTTTTCTCTTGAAAAACTGAAAGAAAAAAAGATTCCCCTCTTGAGGGGAACTAAACTGCTGCTGACACCTTGTGCACGCGATTAGCATTTCCTTTTCAAAGTCCACAGCAGCCGTGGAAAACCCCTGCTCCTCGCCCCCTCTGAAAGGGCAGTGCTTCCTTCCTTTTCCCAAAGCCAACAAATCTGCTTCAAGTCTTTGTCTGCCTTAGAGGACCTTAAATCTTGCATCCTGTCCACCTCCTGCGCTGTGCTCCAGAGCTGCTTGACCTGAACCTCTCCAGAAGCTGCAGTTTGGAGGGAGATGCTGGACGGAGCTGACTCTCGTCCTCTGGCCATGGGCATCCTGGCTCACCGTGCCCCGGCTCGGGCAATGCCACCCGGGCTCCTTGCAGAGGGTGGGATTTGTTTTTCTGGGTTGGAGAGTCAAGTCAGCTCGTGGAGGGATGTAAGCATCAGAGTGAGCCCAAGCAGGGAAAGGGGTGAAACCTCTCTGAAAGCAAAAGGCTTTGCACGTCCAGGCGTTTGATCGGCCGCGCTCTGAACACACAGTTCCTCCCAGAACTGCAGCTCCTGGTTACTGGTGCTGCCCTCTCCGTGCTGGCCAGTCCCCATCCCCTGCCTGGCAGCGGTGGCAGGGCAGGAAGGGCAGAGCTCAGGGCTTTTATAAACTCTTTATCAAAGGAAAACTGCGTTGCAGGGCACCAGGCTGTGTTTTGTGTTGCCGGTTGGTCTCTGCAATCTGCTCGTGAAAATGTTGTTCGTGGAAGGTGAGGGCTGCCTCTGCCTGGCGCGGGGACTGCTGCTGGAAAAGGCAGGACTTTTCGCAGTTTAATCTTGCAAGTGCAAAGTACAGGGCCTTGTTTCCTACGGAATTCAATTGTGTCATTTAGAAGAGAGATCCTCGTTCCTGGTGCTGCTTTAGCTGAGAAAATTAGGCTGAGAAATAAATGTTTCTTGTGGAGCTGGGGTTTTCCATCTTAGAAAGTGAAGCAACTAGACTAGTGCTGTCCAGCCTGGGAGGAGAGAGGTCGAGGTTGTGTATGGGATGAAAAAGGGAAATGAGCATAATTGATCTGCATTTAAACGTGAAGGTGAGGAAGTGCCAAATGAAATCAGTGTTGAAACGAAGAGAAGGAATTAGAGTTAGGGCTCACTCACATTGTGAGGACACCGTGATTGCCACAGGATTTTGCAAAGGGCAACATTGTGAGGGTTTGCTTTTTTGAACTCTTACAAGAAAGGTCCATCGAGGTCGTGAACTGGGACAGTCCGAGGCAAAGCTCTTGCTGGAAAGCCACCCACTGCTGCCCCTCAGATGCTGGGAGCAGCCTGCTGGGCTGTTGCTTTGCCTCTGATGTGCTTTGCTTTGACTCAGGACGGTGGGAAGTGGGATGCCCCGTTCCCTGCTCTGAGCTGGCAGCGTGCTGCGCAAGGGGTTCAGCACTCTGGCTGCCCGGTGCCTTTTCCTGGGTGCTCCTGCTGCTCTGATCAGCCATCCTTCTTTCGGTTCCCCACCTGGTTTTACGTTCACAGGGCTACAGGAGTGCTGAGAGGCCCCAGGTGGGTGGTGAGGATGTGTTGCTTGGACTAGCAGAGGGTGGCAGCTGCCCTGAAAGCCTTTGGGTGAAGCAAGTGGAGAGGAAGGACTAGAGGAAACGAGTTGGGGAGTGCCAGGAGGGAAGCAGGTGACAAAGCCCTCATCTCTGGCTCCTCGCCCTGCGGAAGTGCACAGTATCTCTGCTACTGCCAGTCTGCCTGTTCACAAAAGTGCACCGGGTCCGCAGTGGAGTGCCAGGATGCCAGCTCTGATCCATGCCCTGCGCCCTGAGGCTGCTGAGCCCCACCAGGCCTGAGGCATGCAGCTCTGTGCTGCTGCAGGAGGGCAATTGGCAGCAGGTCCCCTTCTGGGATGTATTTCTGTGGCCCTGCATGGTCTGGAATCCCAACATGGGCATTCCCAGAATTGCTGGAGAAGGACAGAGCCCCTACTCAGCCGTGCCCACGCCGTGGAGCGGCCGGGGTCCTCACTTGCTCGAGCCGCTGTCCCCGTCAGAGGCAGCCAGTTACAGAGAGGGCGCAGTGAGTGCTGAGGATCCTCTCCCCCCAGGCAGGTTTTTTTTCCTGGGTGGTTTTGTTCCTGCTCATCAGTGTTGTTGCCATGAGCTGCAGCCCCTTTAGCAGTCACGCGTGGCACAGCTGGCGAGTCTGCGGGGGGGATGCAGTGGGCATCGGCTCCCGGGCAAAGCTGCAGCCTTGGGCTCTGCGGCAGCGGGTGGGGAGAGCCCAAGGGGTGGCCGGTGCCCTGCTCTGTGCCGTGGCGCTCTGCGACTCAGCTGGACCAGGGGCTGGTGGCTGCCTGACCTTGGGCTGTCTCCAGGCCAGCCTAAGCTGGCATCTGACTGTTGTTTGTACCCGGTGGCTTTCCAGACCACCTCCGTGGTGCTGGTATTCTAAGACCCAGACGTGGCTTCTTCCAGGATCCAAACTTTAGAATCCTCAAAGAAAGCTGCTGGTGCCCGGCTGTGCCGGGTTCCCTGCTCACCGTGTCTCTTTTGCCACTCTGTGATAGCTTTCTACACGAGCAAGTACGGCTACAAGATGTGCCTGCGCGTCTACCTGAACGGGGATGGCACCGGGCGTGGGACCCACCTGTCCCTGTTCTTCGTGGTGATGAAAGGACCCAACGACGCGCTTCTGCGGTGGCCCTTCAACCAGAAGGTGGGTATGGGGCGAAGCCTGCCGTGCCCAGCAGTGGCATGTTTTGCACCCGCTCGAGCTTCTGGGCACCGTCGGTCTGTCCTGCTTAGCAAGCAGAAGATGAAAGCTGACGCTCCCGGGGCGTTGGAAGCTCCGGTTGCAGTTCCTTGGCGCTGCAGGTTTGCGGGACGCTGCAAGGCTGAGCAGGCGAAGTGAAGCGGTGGTGCAGCGAGAGGGGCCGGCAGCTCTGCGACGTAGTGAAGTACCTGCGGGGGG